CAGAAAAGTAAACTAACAAGAGCCAGGCCCAGTAGAAGATTGAAGACAGGTCACCCTCTTGCCCACCACTATTAGAGGGATTAACTTTGAATATGAGGCATCTTCTTTTTTAAATTGTAGCCATTTGAAAAGCCTAAAAATATTTATGTGGACACCTTTCCAAAGAAGATAGACAGATGGCAAAAAGCATATGAAAAGAAGCTCCATATCACATGTCATCAGGGAAATACAAATTAAAACAACAAAAAGATTCTACTACACACCTAGGAAAGGGCCAAAGTCCAGAATACTGACAACACCAAACGATGGCAAGGATGTGGAGCAACAGGAATTCTCATTCTTTATTGGTGGGAATGCAAAATGGTAGTTCGGTAGTTTCTTAACAAAATTAAACATACTTTTACCATATTATCTAGCAGTCATGCTCCTTGGTACTTACCCTAAAAGAACTGAAAACTTATGTCCATACAAAAACCTGCACATGTATGTTTACAGCAGCTTATTCCTAACTGTCAAAACTAGGAAGCAGTCAAGTTGTCTTTCAGTAGGTAAGTAGCTAAGTAAACTGTGGTACATCCAGACAATGGAATATTATTCAGTACTAAAAAGAAATGAGCTATCCAGCCATGAAAAGGCATGGGGGGATCTTAAATGCATATTACTAAGTGAAAGAAGCCATTCTGAAAGTCTGCATACTGTAGGATTCCAACTATATGACATTCTAGAAAAGGCAAAAGTATGGAGACAGTAAAAAGATAAGTGGTTGCCAGAGGTTAGTGGGGCAGAGAGGAGCTCTAGGGCAGTGAAAATACTCTGTATGCTACTATCATGTTGGATACATGCCCTATACAAACCACAGAATGTACAACACCAAGAGTGAACCCTAATGTAAACTGTGGACTTTAGGTGATTGTGATATGCAAATGTAGGTTCATCAGTTGTACAAATGTACCACTCCAAGTGGGGGCTGTTAATAATGGGGGAGGCTGTGCATATTTGGGAGCAGGGAGGTATATGGGACTTTTCTATATTTCTCTTAATTTTGTTTGTGAATCTCCAACTGCACTAAAAGAATAAAATCTTAATAAACATTTTTATGTGAATAAATCTTATATATGATGTATCTCAAGATTATGAAATAAAAAGACACCTATCTCTACAGTGAAAACCCAAAGAAATCATAAAACTCTCAACGGTGAAATTACATTTTTAAAGGTTGTTGTTATTGTTTTGATGATGGCACTAAGGAGTAGGGGAAGACTTCTTGGAGTCCTTAAAATCATATCAATTATATGATCACACGCTATCCTTATATATAAAATCATTCCATACTAGGCCATTGACTAGCCAAAGTCCTGGTTTGTCATTTCCAATATTTTAGTCCTTCACTTTCTTTTAAACTCATAAAAATTCAAAATCTCTCTGCCCCTGATACTAAGGAGAAAATCTGCCTCGTTTTAAATCCCTGGAAGATTCTCTGAAAGCAGTTTCAAATGTTAAGACCGACAAAAACACCAGGAAGTGATTGAACTGACTGCTAACTGACCCAGATTCTGACTTTCAGATAATACACTATAGGAACAAAGGTGATAAAGAATGTTTAATTCATAGATACATGATCTAGAAGTTAAGAGAGCATGTATCTATTAAAATTTGGCTCTTATTTGTGGTTAATGAAAGACAGAAAAGGCTGACTGCTTGTTTGATTCTTGGCCTCAGAAGTTCTATATCTCAGTGAACTTACCCTGGTCTTCTTAATTCTAATTGTTCAGTGACCTCCTGACTTGTCACTTTTCTGATTTTTCTTCCCCAACCATCTCATTTTCCAATTTTTAGGAGCAATGATACTTTGGAGTTTAGGGTCCTTACTTTTTCTGCATATGTTGTAATAACTGTGAGGGTCTCTCACCTTAGTCAGAGTATAATTCAGAAAACCTGACTGATCTCAGATAGGCAACAGAAATGCAGGACTTAAAATATTTTGTGAAAAGGTAAAAAATTCAGCATATTATTTTTTTCAGTTTGTAAGAATGCAGATGATGGGAACCAGTATAGTAGTATCAACCATAAAGTGTATAACAGTTTGAATACTAGCTGATCAAAAACTATTTCAAAATGGGTTATAAGAGAATAACTTTCTGTGTTAAACAAACATATATGTAGCACCTACTATGTGCTAGGTGTTGTTCTTAGCACTTTTCAAATATTAACTTATTTAATCATCGCAGCTACAGAATGAAGTATACTGTTATTATCACTATGCATGGGTTAACTGAGGCTAAGAGAGGTTAAACAATTTGCCCAAAGTTACACAGCTATTAAGCACCAACACCAAGATTCATACTCAGATAATTTGACTCTAAAAGATGGTTAACTTACAATATACTATGCTATGTTTTGCTAAAACATGACAGAAGTTCTTTTTTTTTTTTAAGATTTTATTTATTTATTTGAGAGAGAGAGAGAATGAGAGACAGAGAGCATGAGAGGGAGGAGGGTCAGAGGGAGAAGCAGACTCCCTGCCGAGCAGGAGCCCGATGCGGGACTTGATCCCGGGACTCCAGGATCATGACCTGAGCCGAAGGCAGTCGCTTAACCAACTGAGCCACCTAGGCGCCCCAACATGACAGAAGTTCTTAAGAGAGTAGCACAGAAAAGCCTTGAGAGGGGACCTCCTGAGGCTGGACTAGGGAGATCTCACTAAAGTTTTTGCCTTTTTTTTTTTTAAAGATCTTATTTATTTATTTGAGAGAGAGAATGAGAGAGAGCACATGAGTGGGGAGGGTCAGAGGGAGAAGCAGACTCCCCGCTGAGCAGGGAGCCCAATGCGGGACCTGATCCAGGGACTCCAGGATCATGACCTGAGCCAAAGGCAGTCGCTTAACCAACTGAGCCACTCAGGCGCCCAAAGTTTTCACCTTTTTTAGGATGGTTTTATCTTTCAATATTTGATGGCAACACAAAATCCTGTTCTCTCTCTAAGACTCTGCCCAACAATGAGCAGAATCAAACCTTTCTCTGCTTCTATATTTAGTATAGCTGCAAGCTGGCGTGGCCATGATGAGCACAGGGTGATGTGTGGAGTTGTTGAATCACCATATTGTGCACCTGCAACTAATATGACACTGTATGTTAACTACACTGGAATGAAAATAAAATAAAGTAAAAGAAAAGAAAAGAAAAGAAAAGAAAAGAAAAGAAAAGAAAAGAAAAGAAAAGAAAAGAAAAAGAAAACAGCCATAACAAGAGATTAATAAAGATGATGAAAGACCAGACAGACAATTAGAGTTCCCTGGTAAATGATATCTATTGATTAAAATAAAATTAAAACATAAAAGATAAAAAACATAAAAACATAATTTACAATACCAAGTATAAGAAAGGAAATTTTCTAGAGGAAAGAAAAATCCAAGAAACATAAAACATTAAGCTGATAAGTACACATATCTGATTCAATGACTGACTAGTTTACCAGGTTCGTGAACCTTGTTGTATCCAATATTTATTTCCTTAACCAGACTCTCATTTCAAAGAACTGCAAGTCTATCCTGCTACCTTACTGAAGGGTTAGATTGATGGGAACCAATTTATTCCTTCAATTTGTCAATTGTCTATTTATTGCCTCCTAAGAAAATAAAAAGAAAAATTCTCCTTGATCACTTACCTGGGAAGTTCCACTCAGTTTCTGATACAGGTTTTGAGAAATACTTTCCTACCCATTTGAAATACCACAATTTAGCTAAGCTGGAGTATGCTGTCCACAATATAATATAATAATATACAGTAGCCATGCAAGAAGGATTACATATATATAGTAACAGCAAGGTTTTCCTGTTAAAAACTCTTTACATATTTAGGTGAGAAATTATATTTCAGAATTTCCTTTTTCTATTTATTAACTTAAAATATGTTCCCAATGAAAAAAAATGTCAGGTAGTAATTTTCCAGGCTGCAACTTTCTGAAGAAAATGGTCACTCAGCATTTACAATCAGAAAACAAAAGTTACATCTACTAATGAATGTGTTACATTTTTATTAAATGTATTCTATAAAAATATTTTATATTAAAGTCTGTAGTAATGCAGATAATTCTACAGACTGCATCAGTTAAAAGAAATGGGACATCACCATTGTCTCTAAGGAATATGTAACATTACATAATTCTCAATCTATTTTGCCTTTATGGAATTACATAAGATAAGCAATAGTTTGGCACCAATTCATCAAACAGAAGGGCAAATTTTCACTGTAATATCTTATTTATGTATTTAACAAGACTTTTATAGCTACCTAAGAGATGACATTTTACTTTTGCATAGCTTAGCAATGCGTTAATAGATTCCCTTTTACTTTTTAAATGTACAGATATTCCATAATACTTTATAATAAAAGAGTACAAATAATTTAAAATTCTTGGTGCATGCATTAAAATGACCTTCACATTTAAATTTAATATTCTATTGGTTCCAAACCAAAAATTGGAAAGTGAAAGGTGAAATGTGGAAAAACTTAAAACACTTTCCTTTAAAGACAAATGTCAAGGAAAACTAGAACTTTCCTGCCAAACAATAGCACAATGACTTTTAAAGTTCCATCTGGAAGCTTCCCCATACACTGAACTTGATGTTCCTAAATTGGTGTGCCTTAAAATGGACAAGGGTGAAGCAAAGAACAAGTTTTGTTTATAAATTCTTAGGTAGCCTTAAACTGCTTTAACTTCCTAAGGACAGATTATGGTTTGGAAAAATTTCCAGGGCCTCACACCAGTGCTGGGATTTGCATGTCCTGGATCAATGTGAATTTTGAGGAATAGGCACTTCCTTTGCAAGCAGATGAAAAGTAACTATGCTGAGAGAAAGAGAAACTTTTTTCTTCACTGTTATCAAAGACATATACACTGTTGCCACAGAATTTTGTATATCTAGTTTTTAAAACAATTTAGAATAAAGAAACCAAAGGGTTGAAAACAGGATTTCCAAATGCAAAATGTATAGACTTACTGGTACATGCCATGGAAGGTGGGTCTTTTTCAGCTCTGAAGTAACCCTTTTCACATTGACAGACAGAAGTTGCTTCCACATAGGTTAAACTGTGGGGAGGGCATTTAGAACATTTTGTGTTCCCAGCAAATGCTTTATAGAATCCTGGTCTGCAAGCTGTAAAAAGAGGACAATATTTTTATTGTTATTATTGCTTGAGTTTATTTTATTTGTACACATACATGTTTTAATTGATACACATTTTGATCTCAGAGTTCAGTGTTACACATATACAGAAAAGTCAATATATGTTAATATTAACAATGAAATTAGTTTTTCAAAATCAGTAACATAATGGTGATGTCATATTTAGGCTCAGGTTGCTAATTTTGGAAAGCGTACCTGATACACATACACAAAATAATTGATTACCAGAGTGTGGGGATGCCGCTCACTGGCAGTAAGGGGAATGATTTTGTGTAGTTCTAGGAGATAGCATTAAATAACATTGAATTACACTGTGTAAAATGTATTTGCATTCCATTTTTCCCTCAGTCCTTCTGAGTACTAAAGGAGAAAGTCCCAGTGTGGGGCTGGTATATCTTAACACCTGTCCTATTGGTGAAAAAAAAAAATTTTTTTTTAAAGAAAATGAAAGCTGGCTTTAGGCTTTAGGTTCAGAGACTTTAGCAAGAATCTACCTATAGTTTGCTTTACTTTTATCATTTTATTTTTATTTTTTATGGCAAGCAATTTTTTTCTGTTTATTATATTTAAATACATTCATTTAAAATTTTTGAATTAATTTCAAAAGTGGGTAGACAAAATATTAAGTAAATAAGATATACATGCTATACACATATGGCAAGAACCATGAAAACTGTAAGCAAATAACCAAATTTTCACCAAAAAATCATGAAAATGAAATGTAAATAATAAAAGTTATGTGATGAAATGTTTTATTAGACTGCATTTTCTTTTTGCTTAACCATGTTGTCATTTATAGGGTACTCTTTCACAGGAATGGAAGATCTATAAAAAAAGGATCCTATGCTAAGTATGCATCCAATGTCCTGAATGTTGAGGGGGTAGCTGTTTCTGGTCTCAAAGAAACCACTGCTGACCACTTTCTAAATTAACACTGATATACAAAAAAAGGAAAAATAATTTTCCAGTAACATATATTATGTTAAAAAATGTTTTAACTACTTCTTTTAATCTAATACATTTTCGCAAAATGCTCTATTTAAAAATACACAATAATTAACAATAATGGACAATCATCTCTTGATAAGGCTTCTGCTTATATATTCAGGAAAGAAAGAAAAAAATGCCTTTTTTAAAGGTAAATTTAACTCCTCCCTAAATGAGTCCCAATAAAATAACCATTTGTCTTTCCCTAGGTACATATTTTAATGAATGTTCCTACAGATCTAAATGACTGCAATTCTACTGAAATGTACACTATGCACCACTGACTCATCCTCTAGGAGGCGTAAACCGTAAGCGGGAGCGTGCGTGCACGCAGACGTGCACACACACACACGTGCGCGTAGGCACATACACAATTATTGGATTATTTTTGATAGTTTATGTTTGCTTTATATAAATGACCTAGTAATTCAAGAGAAGTTATGATCAATTCTGTACCGTAAAATTATTTTAAAAACTGGTTATTCACTATCAATGAAGCTGTTAGTGGTGATCCATAAATATCAATCACAGTCTCTTTAACTTGCTGATAAATTAGTACTATATGACTAATCAATAGACACTGTATCATCAAAATAGTTCTCTAAGCCTGTCAAAATTCAGAGTATGCAAATAATATATACTCAACCCCAACATTTTCACAAATAAAATATTCTTTAAAAAATATGTAATTACTAAATTTAATCTTATGATATAGTAGTTACAAGACAATGTATTATAAAATATTTAATAAATCTAGCTTATATATATTTTGTCAGTAATTATTTTCTACTTAATTATGAAGCTTAAAATAACTGAATATATTCCATAGAATTCATGTGTAATACTTTGGCAAGTAATTTTAAGTGTTGAACCCAACTAGAAATTTAATCATATCTTTATTACATCTATTACTATATATATTTTTTTAAGATTTTATTTATTTATTTGAGACAGAGAGAATGAGAGAGACAGAGAGCACATGAGGGGGGGTGGTCAGAGGGAGAAGCAGGCTCCCCGCCGAGCAGGGAGCCCGATGCGGGACTCGATCGCGGGACTCCAGGATCATGACCTGAGCCGAAGGCAGTCGCTTAACCAACTGAGCCACCCAGGCGCCCCTATTACTATATTTATAAATCTAACAAACCACACAGCTTATAGAGAATGTGCAAATTTAAATGGGGAGCTTGCATTCTGAATATTCGAATATTATTTTAAATATAATTTAAATATTATCATAAGGGCCTTCTGAAATAAGACCATTCTGAAATAAATTAATTAGGAATGTGAACACTGTAGGACTATACTAAAGTTTATTATATGTGCAGATACAAAACCTATAAGACACATAAACAAGAGCTGTAAACCTTGTTTCCTTTCTGTTATCAGTCATTCAAATCTCAGTCATAAACACTGTTTAGAATATAAAATAGCCTGCCAATAACTTCATTTTGTGCAGCAAAACACTGTTACCTTTATTTTCTCTGGTAACTAAAAAACAAAAATTTAAATAATTTCTTATCTGAAGTGTATTCAGCTAAATTGTCACCTTCTTTTAGAATTTTAGAGTGCTTAAAGCAGCTCTTAAAATACTTAGAATAGCTTAGTGATAGCCAAACTTTTCTAGAGACCAGGCTGCTAACTGGTCTCAGCACCCAATCTTGTCTACTTTATTCTGTAAACAGAAGGATCTTCTAAATCTGCTCTGTCCAATAGTACTAAAAATTAATATATATATATAATATATATAATTATATATATGTCATTTTAAATTTTGTAGGAGCCACATTAAAAAACTAAAAAGAGGCAAAATTAATTTTAATAATATATTTTATTTAACACAATATATCCAAAATATTATCATTTCAACATATAATCTAGCTCTTAAAATATTTTACATTTGGGTTTTTTTGTACTATTTTGTACTAATATGATGTGTATTTTACATTCACTGCACATCTCAATTTGAACTAGCCACATTTCAAGTGCCTACTCACCTCACGGCCTATTAGCTACCACATTGGATAGTGCAGTTTTGAACACAGAAATCTGTTCATTATATCTCCCTGTTGAAAAAACTTCCCACCATCTTTGTGTTAGTTTAAAACGGATTGGATTATTAAGTTTCCCTGTGGTTTGAACCTGCCTACAGCTCCAACCACATCACATGAAGCTACTTCCTTCTCACACACACTCCCTTGATTAAGGCTTTGCCTTTCTACAGTCTATTCTCAACCCAGCAGGCAGTGATCTCCTCAGAACTTGCATAAGATCACATTATCACTGGGCTCCCAGCGTCCAGTGGCTTTCCATTTCCCCTAGTCAAGCCATTGCCCTATTAACTACTAGTCATCCCGCGCTTTTGCTCCCTACCCATTCCCTGTGACTCTGCTTTTCATCAGTTCTTTTTCCATCAGGTACTCTGCTCCAGCCACACTGGCCTCCCTCAGAATCTTGCATGAAAGCATGCTCCTGCTACTGGGCCTTTAACACTTGCTCTTACTCGCCTATCTGTATGGTTTGCTCCCTCCCTTAGATCAGGTCTTTGTAACAATGTTATTGTATTAATGAAGCCTGATTCCCTTTTTAAAACTGCACCTCCTGCTACATCCTACCACAGTATTTTATATTACCCTCCACACTTTTTCCTATCTACAAAGAACTTAACATCTGACACATGATATGTTTAATTTTTTAAGCTATTTTCTCCTAAAATGTATGCTCTGTTAGGGCATAGATTTTTGTCTCTTTTGTGTACTGAGGTGTATCTCCAGGGCTTGGACCAGCGCCAGGCATTATTTGGCCCTTCCTCAGTGTTCGGTGAATGAATGAATGACTTGCTAAAGGTCTCCTTTAATTTCTATGAATCTACCATGATCTTTCTTCTGCTTAAACCTTTTCTACTGTTGAAAATCTCTTTTCTCCATCCTACCCCATGACCCAATCATCTTGCTAACTCCTAGTCCTCTTTCAGGTCCCACTTCTTCCTGACTTTCTAGACTAGTTTAGTTTCTCCAAGCACCTGTGACTTCTCAATAATACTTGTTTGTTTGCAAACTAACGCTGTGCATGCAAGGCAGGGGGAGACAGAAAAAGAGGCAGGCCGCTCCAGATTGGTAGGTGGCAGGTTTCATAAACAAGGGAAATGACATATGAAGCTTGTTCTGGGCAGCTGAAAGACAAACAGTTCTCTGCACCTGCCCTCCAGAATCTTAAAAGTTTAAATAAAGGCCTTAAATGGGTTGAGTCACGTATACTACCCAGATGGTCTCAACACCACCTTACTCTCTCCAAGGCTCTGTCCTTGAAAACAGCTCCCACTGTGGGAATGGTAGGCAGATCATAGAGTCCAAGGACAGGAAAGGGGTTGAGGAGCCTCCAGCTGCCCAGGTCCAGCTCGAGGGTTAACCAGCGGTGGTCCCATGTTCTGTGTTACTTTTTCAGCAACACCTTGGCGATTACTTGTTTAATGGCTGTAAGTTCCTCAAGGGCAGGCTGGTAACAGTGATTATCATAAAGTAGGTGTTCAACACATATTTTTTTTCACTGAATTGGACAGATTGTTAGTACTCTGCTAATTAAGTTCCTGCAAAAGGTTATGCATTTCTACTCAGTGTATATTCTGATCATAGCATAATTCATCTTACTATAAATTTATAGGTTTTGTTTTTGTCTTTGGCTTGCTAAATTACTGTAAGTTAGGGATGGAAACAGTGAATAAAGATTTTGAAAGTGATTCAATTGCAACTCGAAACTAATTATTCTAATATCTCAAGGTGAGCTGGCTGCTAGGAAAAAAAAAAAAAAACCAAAACCTTTCCAGTTGAAGTTATCTATATGATTTTGAATTTGAATATTTTGCCTACCACAAAAAATATAAATATGAATTGGATGTTGGTACTGCAACTCTCAACCTTATCTCTGATTTGAAATGACTGTGTACACATCAAAATTGTCTTTAAAAATCTTAAAATGTTAAACTTATA